AAAAGATAATATACATTATATGAAATTTACGAAATCCGTGTAGAAGTCTTTATTATCATCCCAATACACACTGCAACAGTAATACGCCCGACTCTAGGGTGCAACATGTGGGTCAGTTTTCGATTATTCCGCCAGCACGATTTTCTTTCGGTTATCCAACAATAGTAATAATAGTAATAATAATAATACATTTTATAAACGCAGCTGTCCGACGGTTTGTATCCCACAGTCTATATGTCTCGACTCCCGCGAGCCCGCTCCACCACCCCCGTCAACGTGGTTACTCCTGCAACACCGGGTCCACCTCGTATGACGGGTGTATAATAATATAATATTATGTATGTATACAATAATAATAATAATAATAATACAATCTGCTACAGCGAGATTATTGCCGCGATAATAATAAGACGTTTCTCGCGCGGTCGTATACATCTCAATTTTTCGTTTATAGCGTCTCGTCGAGATTGTATAATGACGACGTTCCGAGCAATCCCGGTTTTTTTCCTCCGACGAAACGCATATATATATATATATATATATACATACATATATATAAATTTATTCCGAAAACCCTATACAGCGTTTTATATATGTCGGACACGACGTCATAACGTATGCTTTTTATTAGGTAGGTATACCTAATGTATATGTATATATTATGCAAGACAAGCGTACAGCTTGCGGTATAGATTTACACCTAATGCATTGTATACATATACCAGATACCTATATATTAATATATACGTATTTTCTACGGTTAAATGTGAGTTCGTTAACGTGACGGTCTGCATTAATGCATTGCCTATATCATCACTAAATATTGGTTTTTATGGCTAGTGCAGAGAAGAAATGCTATTGAAGTCTTATTATGTATATAATAATAATAATATGTAGGTATATAATAGTTGTGCATTATTTAAGACTATCGTTAATTACCGAAATCTCACGCGGTAACTGATAAATAATATGCTATGAGTAGAATTTAAAATACCTTTTTTTCTCGTGTAGTGAGATGTGGATAGGTACTTCACGTTTTGGACAACTGCTGTTACGTCTTACGTGAGACACGCCATGCGTCTGACAAATCTTTTATTCTAACGAGTGTGTACTATGTAGGTACCTGACACGCATATATACCCACACCGAATTCAGAAATAGATATATAGGAATACCATAATGTATAATATTACATATAGGCACATGGTAACACGAAACGAAATAATTTTCATTCGATAAATTACACAACAAACTGACGTTGACTAATTAGTATTTTATTCTGTAAGTATGCACATCGATTTCATAAAAATCCGTCACGTCGTATTTTCGTAAACAAAATTATTATAATATGACATTATTTGGTTAGGTTCGGTAGGATGGCAATGAAATTTGTATATATATAAGAATTTAATWAAGTATAATATTATTAATGTGGACTTGGAATAYTATGACGCRAATCATTTGTTAAAAAGTATCATTTCCATTTACGTATTTGAATTATCATAATATTAAATTGATCGTKTATTTAAAATAGTTAAAAAGTTAATGTGATTTAACTATGTATCTACATTAAAATAAAGACATATTATATTAAAGTCTTTTAAATGATATATCCACGCTAATACATTTTTTTGTTTTACTTTTTTATCAACATCGCCAGTTATGAAACTGTATGCGACACGTATTTATATATTATATAAATCATACTCATACAATTAATTACTTGATAATAATACAATTCAATTATACGTGCATATTCTGTATGGTGTAATGGTGTAAGTAAGTAAATTTTAATAATGTTTGATTTATTAATAATATACATTATAGTTCGTCAGATATAATATTATAATGTGTGTAAAATGCATGTCATACTTTAATAAAACCATAGTATTATTATATAGTATATATTGCGTTTTTTATGTATTTTAATGCTCGCGTATAGGTTAGGTATACGAAGTGGCACTTTAGGTGAGAATACGAGTTCACACGTGCGATGTCTCCATTATCACATATAACCTATGTATAGGATAATGTATAAAAGAGTACGTTTTCTTCTTATAACGCACAATGACAGATAAACGAAGCCGTCGTTTTGAGAGGATTACCGTCTGTCCACGGCCGTGTAAAAACGCCACGAACAACAAAAATATTACATTATAATAATGACCTTTTTTTTAATACATAATGTACGGTCAAGCTTTTCTTTCGTTTKTCAAACCGATAGCGGTGTTTTTGTCGCTTTAGAATTAAATCCATTTAAAATTCGCATAATCCTGAGATTATTGGATAATATATGTCGTTCAATTCCGCAGCACTAAACATAACAATTATGTATACAACCGGTTCAGAAAAATTCTGTAACAATAAATTCAATATAATATGTTTAACATAATATAGTCTTTACATAAAATTAATTGTAAAAAATTGTGTAAAATCTTTTGGGAATATGTTGTAGTATTTGTATTTAAAGCTGTCGAGGCACACACGTGTTTTATCAATAATGCTTAACGGAAAGTTTCTACAACAGATGTAAATTGGAGTTTGGCATGGCCAATTTTGCGTTATWATAATGTACATGCAGTATCCATTACAATAAATTCACCTGTYGTCAAACTTAAAAGTTAAAATATATYATTAAGTRTTTGCAAGATATCTTTTTTACAACATAGTGAGTAATAATGAGTATTGTTAAATTCTTACATTGCATGTACTCTGCACTAGTAGTCATAAATCCAAACTTGCTTAAAAATGTAAATAGAAAAGCCAAAAAAATGGGCGCAAATACAGATAATACCAATACCTCTTGAAGTTTGAAAATAATATGTTATTTCACACTATCCACAGTAGTTTATAAAGCTAATAAGTAACAACACAGAATTGGTTATTATTTRATACGTTCCCTGTTGTTAGACGAGAACAACACAAATACGGAACGTGACGTCTGCTTAAGCGCACGATGATTTTTTGTTCAAAACTTGAACTCCTGTTTAATAATAAATAACGACATTTTTTAACGTGCAAAGTATATAATGTGGTAATGTTTATTTGGTTATAGATCTGTTAAAACAAGTTTAAGTTAAATTAAATTATCTAACATACAAATTATACAAGAACATGTTTTTGAATTTTGTAACACACGTAATTTGTTCAAAACCCTAAATTAAATAATAATTATTAAAATGTATTACTTTAGTAATAGACAATTATTATATATTACTATATTAGCCATTAACTTTATAAATTTAAATTAAATCAAACCTTAACTTAAGGCAAAGCAAATTATCGTTGTTATATAATACACATTGTTACGTGCAATTAAATACTATTTTTATAACAGTTTTATTTCAAAATAAATAAGCATTAGCATTAATACTAAATTAATTAAAATGTATTCACAGGGACAAAATAAAATACATTTTCAACGATTAAGTACCTATGTGTGGGACGTCAGTTTTGGCAATATRAGACGCGAGAGAACGGTAATGGGGATCGATTAGCATACAAATTTTAAACTGTGTAGGTTAAAAAAATATGAAAACTATATTATCGAAAAATTGATTTGGGCGTCTATTTATTAAACTGAACGTCGACAGAAATACAGTATAATAATGATTGTTAAATAAACACTTGTATAAAACCATAAAACAATAATTTATAAATATATTTTTAACTACCTAGGCACTCTTAAACCACTTTTGTATCGGTATTTGTATACACAAAAATTGTATTTTATATTTTTACACCGTTTAAAGAGTATACGTTTTCAAAAAATAGCAATTTTATTAATAAATTTATTTTATTAATATCGAACGTAATGAGGCAAAAATAAATGAATAAATCAAAAATATTTATTCGTTTAGAAAACAATCGYAAATAGTTGTAATTATAAGACATGATATTTATATTATAGTGATGTTTAAAAAAATCTCAAATACAACATAGTGGATCATCACTTTAAATATTATAATTTTTATTGTTATATTTATATTTTAAAAATTAATATAGTATTATAAATCGTGATAGTTTTTACACATTATTTTTTTATAGCTTCAAAGCACAGCTTTCTATAATTGTTTACATTTATTTAATTATAAATTGTTATCATGAAATAATATGAAAGTTGGTTTTTATAAAAGCATTTAATAATTAAATATTGTCTTTGGATGGTCAATARTTAGTGCAATATTGTGGTCATAGGGTTTCTTGTTTGCGTTGTTAGGTTGTTTTGGAATTCTACGAAATGTGTAAAATGGAATTGAAAGGAAAAATAAAATATCCTCCAGCCACATAATTAATAACCGTATATAAAACAAATCTTATGATATTATTTGTAATATATAGATCATTAAAATTTTTGACATTTCTATTTATTTTTTTTGAAAATTCATAACGTATGTTCTTCTAGATGTCTAAAATACTAACACCGAATAAGAACTTAATGATTTAGTAGCGTGAGTCACGATGGAAGTCGCATCGAAGGGAGTATAATACTTTGCTGTGATGATGTACACGGCACGTCGTTCACACGTCACCGCCGCCGCCKTGGGGACTGGGACGAATTTTCGTGACAAATTCGACGACGGCGGCGACATGACAGCTGCGGCGGCGAAACGTACGTCGAAAACGGGATGAGCAGGACCACTAAATTACCATGAGCAGGAGAAGGGCAAAGTGGAAGCCTAATACAGTGTTACTGTTGTATGACGCGCATTACGTGGTGTAKAGGAACAGCTTGGATGACGGGGATGAGAAGGATCGAATGCTGCGCAGGATCTTTGGGCGGCGTCGACGATAGGACGGGTCGTAGATCTCGATCACGTCGTCGGGGTGACCGAGTGGGGTGGGGAGAAACGAACGGACAGATGTCGGCAGCAGGTACACGCACACACACACACACACACACACACACACACACACGCACACACACACACACACACGCACGCACAAAATAATAATAACACGAGAAACACACGCACGCACTCGTTCGCCGCGTTTCGGATTTTCGGAGCCAGTCGACAGTCGTCAGCCGTCGACCGTGTGCATACACCGCGCGTATCGTGCTCCGCGTCCAACCGGTGTACGGTTTTTCGTGTTTAGTTTGATAATCGTAATATCGCGTGTTAAAATTAGAAATCGTAATTATTATTTTTATTTCACTGGCCGAATAATAAATCGAAAATCGCCGTCGACGGTTTCAGCGATAATTTAGTAATAAGTGYCAGTGCGGATTTAAGATATTATATTGTTGTTATTTTCTCACCGTTAGTTGTTATTAATGTTGTTRAAAAAATAAAACGATTGTTACTTTCGTGCGTTGTGATTAAATAGTAATATACGCTTATAGAAACAAAATCATTGGAATGATATAATGACAGCGCTAGCTCGTTCTATTTGATAATTATTGTGAGTACTTACATACCTTTTTTTTTTTTAGACAAGTATAAATTATTATAGCTCAACACGTCTTACGCTATAGCATATACATACGTAGAATTCATAAATTATTTGTCGTWATATATTTTATTAACAGTGTGTGCACGAAGTCCGCTACCGCGAATGTTTTGTATCATAATTATATTAATATTAGTCATTTAATTATAGTAAAACATACTGTCTATAAATTACTCGTAGTATAACTGTGGAATCTATCTTATCGTTTGCAAAGGTTTTGTCCGTAATGTGTAGGATGTTATTTACAATGCCGAGATACTGAATAATAAATTATTACAATATTATCTACTTCGCAAAGCCGATTGCGGCAAACGCGCTCGGGACGTGTTATTTTTAAACGAAATCCTGCAGATGCGAGACGCTCAATGTTTCCGGAGCGATTATATATAATATTGTTGCATTTTACGACAGAGCCGGCAACGGCCGTGTCCCAAAAATAAAAAAAGAGAAAATAAAAAAACGTTTCCGGTGGTCGCGGTTTCGGCGGGCTATTTAACGACAGCGACGGGATTTAGAGAATCTGCCTAATTATAATTACCACCAATATAATAATGTTATTGTATTGTAATAAGATCACTGTTCCCGCCAAATAATAACTGGTCCGCGTGCTAATAACTACTTCTTTATTCCGTCTCCGTCCGATGTATACCTATTTGCGATGGGATAGTGTTCTGTAATGTTATTAACCGTAGGTATAGGTATTATGCTTATAGTATATTATATGAAACAGCGGCGGGTCTACCGTGAGGTTGACGATTTTACGATTCTCGGACTGTACCCGTCCCCCGACTGTTATTCCATTATTCAAACGAAGTTGCGCACACTTCCTTTGAATTTCCCAAAATGCATTCGTATGTAATAACTGGGGTGTATATGTGGCCGAATGCTGAAAATACCGATTCTAATGACCCCACCACCACCCACCCCGTGATTGTTACTATTGTGAGCACGAAAAATAGATTATGACCGTCATTCTGCGTCGCCGTGGGGACCGCGTATAGCAGTGGGGTATAAAATATTAGGTACATATAAGGTACCACGACGATAGTATAATAAAAACACCGTTTAATGAACCATTCGAAGAGTGTATAAAATATTTTTATAGCTCCACGGAGCTTCTCCTAATTGCATACATTTATACTTATGCGTATAGTTTATATTATACTATATAAGTATACCCGCGAACAATCGCTCACCGTCGACCAGATAAGTCTATCAGATCACTGTTCACTACCTCCTAACCACGGCAGACCAGTGGTGTAATTTAATTGACTACGTTCCGTTAAATAGTATTCACGTATTCCGAGGTATTTTTTTAAATTCTTACATGCATAATATGTACAATAATTTATAAATATTATGTCAGGCGAAAAAAAATAGTATTAACGTCACATCTAATATTTTCAAATACCTAGTTATATCGAAGACGACAAATTTTAATTAGTATTTCGAATTAAACATCAACAAAAAAATAAATTAAAAAACCTCGAGTAATTTATTCGGATTAGAGTTTATCGTGTTTAGATTATCATGCATGTATAGCGAAAGACCATATTTAAAGATCATTATTTGAAGGTTGGTTTTTTGAAAAATTCTGAAACTTGTTCCTGGTCTATACGATTTTTGTCGATATATTATACACAATACACGTGCTATTACCKTAAAATAATACGTATATATACTACGACTACAACTGCCTGCCACGGATCTATGATCAATGTAATAACATAATATTATAGAACCTGTTCCGAAGTCCGTCTCGAACTATAGGCTGGTAGATGTACAAAAACAAAACGATTCCGCGCGTATGCACCAAAAACAAATTTCGGCGCCACTCAACTGTGCGATTTCGATTATTTTAAATATTTTAATTATATGTATATATATATATATATATCCTCTAAGGCTGGTTCTCACAATTTCTGGTTAGGTGTCCGTTAACGATTACCCGACAGTTAGCGGGATTTTTATCGGCAGAATTCTGCCGGTTAAGTGTCCATTAACTTTAACCAGACATTGTATGAACGGCCCTAAGTATACATTATAATATAGGATTCGAACAGTGGAACTTCACATTACGAAAATCTTTTTTTACTCCCTCGCGGTGTTTTCATTAATTGTTCATATCTACCTATAAGTCGTATTGTCGTAATGTAGGCTTCGCGTTTTTTTMGGAATTTAATAAATTTAACCGAAATCGCTTCTGTTTATGTTTAAGTACGCAAATACCCTTACAACTGTAATATATAGGTAACTACATAATATAATATGGGACACGCATTGTGCGATTTTTCTGACTATCTTGGAACTAAATGAACAAACATTAAATCCATCCCATGGGAAAATATGGGAAAATAGTTAGGTATTGGCCGGTTTCATACTCGTCTATTCAGGAGTTTATCAATTGCACTTATTTTTTTCTGGGTCAATAGACAAATTGCACTCAATAAAATAATACATATTCAATAAACGCAATATTAATAATATGTACCTATACATTATATAAATAAATCTATACCTAATAATACACATACATATATAATTAAAATTTWATAAATTACTATTATAATATTATTATACATAACACATAATATATACTTTTATAAAAATGTGTAATAGTAAAAAAATTACTGAAAATGTAAGCAGCGCAATTGGTATACTGGCCTAGAATAAAACAAATTTTGTTCTATGTGCAACTGGTCCATGTCCTACTGCATTTGTGTATTACATACCTATCTATGTTATTTATTATTTAATTATTATTAAGTAAAGTATGAAGTACTAGWGTAATATATTTTACTTCTTGTGACGTTCGCACTGCTGCTGCAAATAGTTATAATTTTACATTCGGATATTAACCAGTCGGAATGAACCAGCTATAAGTACAATGCACGCAAAAACGTATGATTTTTTGTTCTTTCGAAAACGATCGCCGCGAGCGACGCACATAATATAGGAAAATATTGCTTCAGTCGTAAACCGTACTGTTTCTTAGAAAAAGTCATAGAAATTTTTTTTTGTTTTTTGCAATTTTTAAAACAATTACTAATAATTATAGGGAAATGTAAAATAGRATATCCTTATACGTTAAAAAAATATATTTGTATTAGTCCAAATATATTATTATTGTCCAGTTTCACGGTTAGAGAAACACCCTATATTATGTATAAAACATCCGCTAAATCCGCTGCAGTTCGTCGAACTGAAAAATACGCATTTTTGCACTCGCCCGCGCATGAAAATATTGCGATAATGTCCGGTCGAACGAGCACCGRAGTTCAACACGGAATATTGTTTTGGGATTATAACTTAATAAAATAACATGAATAAATGTGTGGCGGACAGAGCACTATCTGCAGGTTATAGCTAGGTCTTATAATGCTGAGATATACTCGTACTAATCGTACTCACAGTAAAAGCTGCAAATCATAATTTTTTTTCGTATARTAACTCATGTTTTGCAGCATAACGTATATTCACCATATTATTATTTTATATATTATGTGTATAATATTTTAGTATGTACAATATACCTACAGTCGATCGAAACATAAAACTACAACCGGCGCGATCGTCGGCAATGATGCTGGTTTTTTTTTGGGGGGGTAGGTACATGATTTTTTATCCGACGTGATTTTTTCATTCCCCGCTCGTCTTCAAAGGCCTTCCCACCTCGTCACTCGGTATTGTCCCTCCACGCGGGGTAATCCGAGACGGATTACCGCGTACCGTATAATATTGTACATACACACACGTGTAGGTTGGAGCTGCCCGGAGGGGTGACAGGTGAAAAGGTCTGACAGGTCTGCACGACTATGGCACATAATATAAGCACACACACATATATGGGTACGATGGTTGAATGCGCGCGCCTCAGTGTTGTGTGCCACCTGTGTACGCTGCATGGTCGTTTCTTTTCTCTCGGACGTTGGGCGGGCGGTTTTTATATTTTTCGCACACAACTCGCGCTCGCGGTTCCAAAGACGTATTCATGGGAGAATGGGAGATTATAATACGATATTATATTATAACGACTGTGACGTGACAGCTCCGACCCTTCGCCTAGCCCACCACCTTGTTTCTTAGGATTTTTTTCCTTTCTGTTTTATATTGTTTCTCCGCCAGAATCCATCTTTTAGCCCATAATTGTATGCACATATACTCGTATAGAATGCGCAGCTCTGTCAGAACAATATTGCACTAAACCGGAGAACGTAAAATTTTCTATGATGTTATGTCTGCGATCTATCATCATACTATTTTAAAGAACGCAATGTGCAGTGTATGTTGTTTCTCAAAGATTGAAATAAAGTTTGAGTCTGAACCCATATATTATTCATTGTTTCCATGATTTTTAATAATTTAAATAATTTTTATAATAAAACATAAAAATAGAAATCACACAAATTGAACGCTGACTTTTTATAATATTTTATTAATACTGTGTATTATTTATCAATTATAATTTCATAAAAATATTAAAAGTTTATAATAAGAATAGAACAAGTAATATATATATTGTCCTTCTACCATCTATAGGTATAAATATAAACGATGCAATGAAAAAGGCATAAACGGTGAAAATAAAATTATAGATTTAAATAAACACAGTACATATTTATAATGAATTATGTTAAATAAATTTGAATTTTGTTTTTATATCCAAATCATTTTTACCGTGTTTTAGCATAAGATTTGTTTAATTTATAATATCTATAAAAATGATTATATTATGCAATAAAATCCCGTAAAAAWATCATAAAAAGTTTTTATTATACCTAAACAAATKTGACGCTGTTGATCCATTGTATGCAAACTAACCCCGTGAGATTTTATTGTACACATAATAACGTACGTAGTTCTAGCTGACACGGTGACATCAATTATGCGGGCTTTGATTTGATTTTGTGAATTTTTAATAGCTAGTTCATAATTGGAATCTTTTAGACGCCGCCCGTATGGCATATTGCATATAAGGTTTCCATTGAGTGGGTTGGCATCACTTTTTCAATATAATATTACAAATAAAAAAGACAATTAAAGGATTAATCCGTTTTGATTATTTTCTGGTCGTAAAAATTCGTTAATAATTTATTTTTCATCATCGATTCTGCGCTCTGCGGTAGGTATATATCGTGAATTAAAAACAACTTACCAAGTACATCGTATAATATATCATTATTATTATATTAAACAGTCATACCCATAGTGCAAATGCTGGTGTATATAGTTTTATGTTATGTTCATGATATTTTATGTACCCATTGCAGTGCATATTACTACATCGTAACAATATTATATGAGTGCCTACGTTATTTTATAACGTTTTATGACTTAAGATTTTTGACGAACTTCCGAGTCTCGCACCTAAAGTATAAATAACACATACGTAGTCATACAGGACGTATATTATTAATATTATATTATTATAGGTAGGTACCATGATAATATTTTTTATAATATTATTCTACATTCGTTTTCACTGACAGTTGATAACCRCGGAGAGAAAGCGATCAGCCGCCGTATGAAAAATGACATCACTCTATAACTGCAGTGATTTCATCATATAAATATTTGTATACATTAAAATGAGTATAGGTCACATTCGAAATATTTATTTATTTTTGGAGGAAACGAATTGTCGATAGAATTGAAAAGAAAGTATTTAAAAAAAAAAAAAATGTCGAGTGAGCTTGGGCCGGACAACTACCCCGTAGTAGTCTCCCGAATTCGACCAGTCGGCCTAACTTTTATAGGATGTGTACGCATATCGTATAATCCTCTTCATTTACTCCCTATATTGGCTCTTCCAAGTTAATTGATGTTTTGAAAAAGTATTAGTCAGATTTAACCCACCGTAAAAAAGTTTGGAGACCTCTGGTTTCATCGATGGATGTTCGCGTTTTCAAACTCGATAGCAACTTAATTGCGTTTTTTCTGTTTGTATAAAGGTACCTAGGAGGCTAGGACATAAGTATATATCAACGCATGTTACTAAAGACGATATATTTGACTGTATACGCAATCCTATTATAATATATATACCGGGATAGCCGGTATCTATAATATAGGTTTAATACGATAATATTTGGTAAATTCGGTATAATATAACATACGAGTAATATCCAGTACCTCAATAGTTTCCTTCAATTATATATTTTATAACATAAAAACGACAAGTGGGACACCAAGGCGGCCGGTCGCGTGCGCACTGCTGAATGTTGATAGGTGCTCGACAGAAAAAAAATTGTGTCTGTGTATAGTATATAAAAACAAACATATAAAGTCATAATCATAATCATAATAATAATAACAATATTATATATGTAGGTCCGCCCCCGCGCTCGACTGCATAATATTGTTGCGGCGGCGTGGCATACGTGCGATGTGTATTCGATTTCACCGCGTGTAGTGTTTGCTCAGTAGTACACTATACATACACAAAACGCGCGTGGTAGTGCCCCTGTACGTGTATGTGTATACACACTACTGTCCTACGTGTGTGCACAAGTCAAACAAATTAAACGGATATAACGCACACACGCATGTATATAATATATTTATATATGATATAATAATGTCATGATTTGGAGAGATAAATCCTCATCATCTGTATATTATACTCGGCCGATCGCTCCCTATATTTATTTCGGCCCTCGCTATTTTGCCAGTGCCTATACACATATGTGTTATAATATAATAATATGAGATATTGTATAAATAATAAATATGTACACACACGACTCACGACAATAATAATAATTCAGGTAGCTGCAGTCGACGAGAAACAGGATGCGCGACACGCACTGCACAATGGCGTCGGGCAGACAATATACGTGAATAATAAAACTCGCGCGCGTCCATCTCGCACGTACCTATTCCTCTATACGTGATGAATGCCTACAAATGCGCGAGGGTTGGCATGCATGACAATTTTATTAAAATCGTTGTTACATTTTGTCAAGAGGACAAAATTAAATTTTACGCGCTATTTTTCTGCCAAACCGTCACGTGAGGCAGTGCCGTTCTGGAGAAAGAAAAACTACTAAATCTGTAGTGAGGGTGTTTTCATTTTATGTCACGATGAATTATAATAAATCATAAAGAGCTCAACACCTCTCCAAAATAATTGATTCCATTTAAAAATATAATTTACATTATCAACATTTTTAAACAAAATTTAATTCAACCGAACCTATGATGTGGCACAACAATTTGTTTGGTCATTGGTATTTAAATAATTTTAATATCAATACCAACAGAGTAGTCCAACAAAATTTATTCAAATACCCTTATTGTTATAGGTTTGTTTAGTGTTTCGCAAATGTATTGACATATTATAAACTAGATACTTATAATATATGCGCATCGGTATGTATAGAACATTTAGGTAATGCAGAGACAGTTTTTGATATTTGCCGAGAAATTGCAGCAGTTCGATTTCTGTTACCGTTTATACACTGTTGAGATCCTAAAATAACACGTCGCAACTAATACAGGGATCAACAACAGGAGTGGAAACATATAATGTATAGTGTCGTCATAAAACCGCGCGTACGAATTCGTTTAAAATCGAAAAAACAATTTCTAATCGTCGGTACCTATATAATATTACACTGGAGTTTGCCAGCTTCAGATTTTTGTCCTTAGAAAAATACGCTTTGCTGGTCATCTATTGCATTCATAACATTATTATATCTATACGATCGTTTATTATGTATATTCTATATGTTGTTTCGGGACTCACAGATACAATATAACATACCTGTAGTGAAGTTTTGTAATTAATGCGCGCGAGTTTCGATTTACGATCGATTTAACATTGGTTGTCGTGGTGTGCAACGTCGATGTGAGCGCGGTTGGCATTTTTATCGGTTACGTGAATTTTTTCTAACGTTTTCGACGATGAATCCGATTTCGGACCGTCTTTTTTTCTTGTGTGTTTGGCGAGACCGAAATATCAATACGCCTAATATAGAGCGTAGGTACAGATACTGCGCCTGTATAATAAAATAATATTGATTTCGTGACTTACGCGCGAGGCTCGACCATGCGGTATAGGTAAACTAAAACTCATGAACGAACGTTTCGAAGTCATTTATATAGAGGCTATTATTTTCTGTGTGTGATAAATGTTTACATTCGGTATCACTTTATACTGCTGTTTTGTACACGAGAAATTCGTAAAATTGGACAACAGATCAGGGATGTTAATCCAATAATTAAAATTTATWAATTCGTATTCAGCGAATAGTGTATCGTATTGTGTACAGTACACATTAAACTCATATTATTATACAATAAATTATAATTTAAAGGATAGATATACTGAATCAAAAAAGCCTGTTTTTTCAGAAGTTGGCTAAATCCTATAATCCTACTAATCCTACCTTGCTTGAGTACATACGTAATTTTCATAACTTTTAACATACASGTTATTACATTTTGGTTAGATTATTAATGATTTACATATTAAAAGCTATTTAAGCTTTTAAGGCGCCTATCATATATTATACATGGATAATATAATGCAATGGTCTTTGCTATTCGTGAAATATCTCAAATTCGCTATCACCGAATGATTTAACTGAAATTATATAAAAATGAATATGATATAGGTAGGTAATATCCATCATGGCATATTCCTGCAGTGAGGTATACATCATTCTTATTCCACCAATTTTTAGAGCTTAGTATAATCTTCAAAGGCGCTGTAAACAATAATGACAGGTATACCGGTAATCTGTCTATTTGCACGCATTTCAATTTAGCTGTAAAATAATAAAAATGTATTGTTTATTTAAACTTTTGGTGATAACATTTTCCCCCTCTCAAGGTTTGGTGATCATTGTTATCAATTTATTGAAATTGCGCACAAATAAAGATATTAAATATATTGTATAGGTAGATACTAAATGTTATTATCACGTCAATATTGTTGTCGTACTCGTGCTCGCCGTACTCGTGCTCGCCGTACTCTTCTCTATTTTTACACTTATTTTTAACTGTCGTATAATGCCGTTTCGATATAGGATGTAATTTCACGTTAAAATTTAATATCTACGCCGCGCCGGTATATTTATAAATAATACCTATAGAGATTTTTTCGTGCAGTATGAAGTTTTTGAATCTATTTGCAAGGCGGAGAAGTAAACTTTATCTGTCTTATTCAGCACCCTTAAACATTGTTATTTAATACACTTTTAGATGTATATTTTGAACGTAGGTAAACTTAATCAACGAAATCGGGAGTTTTAATAATAACGATTCACACAAACATTTTTAATTTACCAATTTACTGATCGTAAACAATTCTTTTTGATTATGCAGGAACAGTGGTGGAGATGACTGCTTACGCCACTACCATCATGTCGATGGTCGCTTTGATGCTGTCGAGTATGCTGGCGTTGTGCGGCGCCGAAGAACTGGGACTGGTGGACGCCGGCGCCAACGCCGTGGTCAACCATAACCAGGTGATGTGCGAAGACGTACGAATGAAGTGCGCGTTCGGCCCGGGCTGTTCGATGGCGTTGCACAACTACTTCGCCAAGTGTGACAGGATGCTCCAGGCCGACTCGACTACGTGTCCCGAATCGTGTCTATACGCGCTGGTCGCGCTCTTATCCACCGAAGACGGAAAACGGATGTTGGATGTGAGTATATATTAATATGCTGTTTTTGTGTTCTAAAATTTAAATATGATATCAATGAACAATTGCGAAAAAATAATTTGTGTATGTTATAAATAAAAAAATAAAATTAAGTAAAACCTTTAATAGCGAATAATAATAATTTTATTTGCATTATATATAATGTAAAAAATACGCCAAATATATATAAAAGCGTATTAGATAACACATTTTGGTTGCACTTAATTCATTTTACGAAGTAAAAAAATAAGTTCAAATCCAGACTATAACATATACTCGTATTATACGATTTATGTACTGCTGTACTTATAAACGAACAACATCTTCGACTTTCGTGTTGATTTTTTCATGAATATACCCACCAAAATCAAAGCATTTAGTATTAAATCACATTCTGATTATCAGTCACGTACATTTCACCATCCCCCCTCTCCAAATGTAATTGTTGAAAATTTTCAAAAATTACGTTGGGGGCGATAAGTACGTAAATCAGTCTCGTGTCCAACACAAAGATAATAATATACTTTAAAGAAAATAGCGCGTGGGTAGATTCGATATTTTATGCGGACTGTCATTGCGGGAACAACGCTAAAATACGATATCGGATTTGTTTATACATCATATATTATATATATATATATATTCTTAGCCATACTACTTAATATACATATTATACAATATACATGCTAACCAACGCGGTGTTCGTTAAAGTCACCGTTGAAGTCTTATTTATTTTAAAGCCGTATTGGTATATTATAGTCGTTTGTTTATGCTACATGTATATACCTATTATACCTATATATACGATGTATGTGTTATTGTGCTAGCGTTCCAGCATTCGTATCATTGCAATAAAAAAAAAAAAAAACACGTGAATAATTTAACGTCAACCGGGATTCAGATGTTTTCGAAACAGAAATTTTAATTGAGCAAGAGAAAAAAATAGCTCATTGAAATTTTATCGTCGAATTCGTAATTGCGGAGTACGAAACCCGTCACCGCGATTCTCGTGAAATATGTTTAAAACCTCAATAAAAAAAAATACGCTCACCGTCACATCATATTATATAGTATGCAATTTTAGCCTCTGGGGTCCATTATTATCTTCGAAAAGGGGTTTGATTTATGGTGATTAACACACTCGCCCTATATCTATATTATTATATTATATGAATTGTATATAATAATAAATACTGTAGCGTTATATGTCGATGTTATATATGAGAATATTAAGACTGTAAAAATTATACAGAAAAAACTCGCTAAACCATATTCMATCACTCAATACTATATCGAACGATCCCCGCTGTACAAATTTATAACTCATATTACTCGTATTATTGTGCATAATAATACACAAGCTGTTGTATAATGGTGTGAGAAAGGTATAAAATAATAATGAGATTAAAAATCCAGTTCTGACCTATAATATTGCAATATACATAATACATAGTACATAAATTCATACCAGCTGTACCTACATAACTTAGTTACTTAATATTTACCTAATACCTACTTTAATTATTTTACCATCAACAGTGGTRGATTGAATTTTTTTCTTGTCTCACATATAATATTTTTACACCACCCATCCTAAATATTTCTTCACTGCTCTCCAATAGTGAATTTATAGATTATAGTAGTTAAATAATCCTTTAAAATTTGTTCAAAGTGCCTTTTCGTTCCATATGTATAAAACACCCATCACCCAATAATATATTTATAAATCACAGGATTCAACTAATACCTTCACCAAACCACTATAACCTATCCAATGAATCACGATATTATAACGTGCTTTACGTGTAAAACGTATAACTGTAATATTAACTTGCGGATTTTTACAGTGCACGTGTCGGGACCGCTACTGCGAGGAGATGAAGGCCCGCGTGGAGGTTTGTCGGCCGTTTGTTTTGGAAGCGTCCAAGAACGAGACAGTGGTGCCGTGTGAGCTGGCCAATTGGGTGTGCACAGTGGACCCCGTGTGCTCGGCGGCACTAGGCTACTTTCAAACGTACTGCAGACGGATGATGCTCGGCGTGGCGTGCACGGAGCGGTGCCTTAACTCGGTGGAGATACTTCGGCGACAGGAGAAGGCRGCCAAGATGAACCGGTGCAGGTGTACCGGTAAGTCAGCCGTCGACTGTCTGCGCCAAAAGGAGCGCATGGTCAGGCTGTGCTACGGTGGCGAGGCGGACCCACGGCTCCAACAGCAGGCGGGAACTGGTGGCGGCGGTGGCAACAAGTCCGGTGGCCGAAAGAACCGGAAAAAGCACCGGCCCAAGATGTTCGACCTGGACCCGGACCGAACCGAGGTGGAAATGATGATGGCCAACGCGGACTACCAGCCGGACGTCCGGAACAGATATAACGCGACGGACTGCGTCGGCTGTGACGATGAAGAAATAGACGACGACGAGGACGACGACGAAGGGTCAGGGTCTGCGACAGACTTACTTCCAGGAACGCTACTTGTGGTGGCTGCGTCTGTTTACCTAGTCTCGCGATGATGATCTTCACTATATTGCAGCGTCACGGATCAAGAGTACACGCGCGCGGGTACGTGAAAGTTTTTTCGTGCGTTCGGAATGCGTTTTTCCGTTTTTGTTATATATACCTAATTTTCTCATTATTTTTCGTGTTTTTTTTTTTGTATCATTATTATTTATTCGTAGATCGGATCGATTGAAGCGTACTACAGTTCGCTAGCACTCGGGCCTAATATTTTTCGGAGGCTTGTTTTCTCGAGATTTAAAAAATAATAACAACTTGGGGGGTAGAATATTTACGGATAGCGCCGCCAGAACGGCGCTTGTTAACTGATATACCAGACTGAAATCAATTCGTTGAGTCGAATAAGCTCGTCGAAAATTATCCCCAGATCACGATGTCGATACACAGCTTACTTGGTGTATTGTGCTATCGATTTGTATAATTTCTTCTTTTTCGAGAATATTATCATCAGCTCGCATCTTTTATTTATATATTTTTTTGTTGTTTCCAACGATGCGCGTTCATCAAAATCTATATATGGATTGTGATTAAAGACTTTTACGATATAGGTACTTATATATTACATATAATTCTAGGAGGTTATATTGCGTGTATATAATATTATGTTAATATTATAATCGCTTTACATTCAGCTGCGTATTGTATACATCCATGCAGTGTTTGTATGATATTATTGTAATTTGTACATACCTATTCAATAATAATAATAATAATAATAATTAAATATGCTTAAAAAATTATATTTTTAAATCTGTGTGTATATTATTATCGATCGATCACTATTTGGTACAAAGTCGTTTTTTGTATAGTTTAATATTGCTATATATTATGTTTTATGTTTTATGTGTATTGTTTATTATTATTATTATTATTATTTTTTTTTACTTTACGCTCCATTGTCTGTTATTATTTGATATATAATTAGACATTGTGTACAAAAATAAATTTTTATTTAGTCGAAGAAAATAAAGCGATTACCAACAAAAAACAAATTTTCTTTTTGAACGATTTTTTTTTCCTTCGACCTAGCTATAGCGATCCGGCAATAATATTGTTATAATATATAATATTGCTATATATAATAATTCTTCTCTGCTAACAGTTTGCTGAGWGTGAAAAATAATATTATAATAATATGACGTTATATAAGTTTCAAAAACGGACGAGACACAGCGGCGAAAACTGTAGCTATATAAGCTTAAACCGCCGTCGCCGTGTTACAAATTTACAATAGGTTATTATATATTTTTGGATAATAAATATTCAATTAGTACTTTTGAAATAAACGACTAGACGGGCTCCTGTTTTTATTTACAGCTCGTAGTATAACGAGTTTCCCGATTTTCGATCATGAGCCGGTCGTAAAGACCAAAGACGCCCAGAGGACGTTTATTATATTGTTATTATTATTATTAATAATAATAACAATATATAATTGGAAGCGGCGTCATTATGTCGCATAACTGAGGACTGCCAGCACTCCCCCGCTGGTCTGTTTTTATATTATTGATCTCCGGTGGTCCAAAGGATTAAAAGATTATTATACGACGCAAACGTCCGGAAGACAAGAATCGGCGTCCGGCTAAATCGTAAATTTAACGAATGGGGCCCACTGCTTCTGCAGCAGATGCAGATAACGCCCATAATATACATAAATAGACACTGCAGTAGTGCACCAACGGAAGACCTTTGCCATCGGTATTGGTAAATTGGATCCTATAATGACCCTTRATCGCGGTAAATCGAGTCGAATCGAAGTTATTGGGACCCGAGAAAAAAAAGATTGTTGGCCCGGATACCAATTAAAAAAATAAAAATAAATTTCATTATTATTATATAGGAGAGCAAATTACCAAATACACAGGTATAATGTTACAACCCGATTTGAGTTTATTAAATTCAATATTAATGAAGTTTCTGTCGAATACATAATATGCATAATAATGACATTTATTTTTATTTTATTATTAAATTGTTTTTGTAATATTTTTAATCAGTATAAATGAAATGTATAATAATATAATATATTTTAATTTTTTTTTTTTTTGTTGACAAAAAATAATCTTTTTTTCACGAGATCCAACTTACCAATTACCTTTTTCTCCCGGGACTCAATTTACCACCTTCAAAATGTACCAAACTTATCTCTGGCCCAATTTACCTGATCCCTCACCACTCGATACCTAGCAATATGATAACGATAATATTATTGTATTATTGCGACATATGGTATTTTGAACGATAATTTGGTTTTTTTTAAAGTGAAATCCGTTTAAAACAACTAAATTATAACATTTATTTGGATATGATTTCGGCAGGAGCAAGTTTAATAATATTATTGATGGCTGTTCACGTGCAGACGTATTGAATTCATATATAAGAAGAATAATCAGTAAAACGAAGTAGCGTAATTTCGGTGCTTTTGATTTCATAGTGATTGCGTGACTTAACTCTCGCGCGGATCGCTTTTTAGAATATAATATTTAGAAATCTGCCACTGATTTTATACATTAATAACGTATATATATATATATATATATATATGTATACATATATGCTGTTGTAATATATATATATATATTTACAGCGAGTCCGGCCGCTATTATGCGCGCACCGTGTGGTGTTTGTTATGCGTTTTCGAACTTAAATATATGATCAAAACTGCGACCGTCGGGGTGGAGGGGAGAACAGAGACCACCCACAATGGTATTATATAGGTTGCAGTGACGGCCGGGGCCGGTCGCGCGGCAGCAACGCAATAATAATAATAATAATAATATGATTATTCCACGCGTGGATCGAAGGAGAGGGGACCGATGTGATGTGTATACAGGGTGGATAGAGTTGTTTTTCACGACGTGCCTGCGGGAAATGGGAAAAACGCAGAGCAGAGTGGTCCCGGGACCTCTTGATTTTCGTGGGACTCGGAGAAAACGAAACGGTATAAAAGATAGGCAAATGAAACGATGTATGAAATCACGTCAGTAAATTTGACAAGGCGCGCTCCGTATTTTACGTGTTATGTGGGACGATGACACCTATCATCACGGCCCAAGGTCAAATGAGCTATGGAGAGACTCGCCAGAGTGTTTTGATTGGTCGACAACATCATATTATACGAAGACGCGCGATGACGATAATAATAACAAATACAGTAGCGCCGTATAATAATTCAAAGGATAAATTTTAACGATATTTCTGCGTGTCCCGAAAACGATAAACGTYACTATATATACGTTRCAGGTTAATGATGTACAGAATTTTAAGCACGATCCTCCATTTTTATGTACATGAGTGTTCAAATTCTGATTTTTGCAGGAAACTAGTCTATACGCTGGAAGATCATATTTYAAAATACTTGAGAATTTTATACCACTTATAAAAATGACACTGTGATAATGCGAACTTTTATTTTTCAAATAGAACCCCCTCTCTCCTCGTTCACTTTTAATCTTTCAGCAATTCAGCGGATATTTTTATTGCGAATTTAGATCCATCTAAACCGAAATTCAAACAAGTAATTTTTTAGTTATATRTAACCGTGTTAACTTAGTATACCAAGGATAATATTGTAACTATGATAATGGGCTAAGTATACCTGAATATGAGAGCCTAAATGTTTTGAAAATATTAATTATTATTAGTATTGGATCCATATCAACATAAATAATTTAAAAAAAAAACGGCCAAATAYAATAATAAATAGGTACTAAATAATATAATATTGGTACATRGTTTATATTTTACTAAAACCATTTTTAATAATTATTATCGTAAGTATTAACATTTCAATAACTCCGAAATTATTCTTTAATATTATTTTGATTTAGATACATCAAAATGCTCAAGAAAATCAGCCGGTAAGTAAATCGCGGTATAAAATAGTTTTCATTTAAAAATGTAGAATTTTGTGTTGCCAAACGATACATCTTAAGGGGTTCGTATAATGTCAGCCATCAGGAGTTCGAAAATATAATTATTAACCAGACTTGTAAAGTACTTGAGTAAAAGTATTCAAATACTTTTTAAGTTCTCAAATACGTATTCTAAATACATTTGAAAAAAGTACTTGGGTATAGCATTTGAATACATTTTTGAAGGTATCTGTATTTAAAATCAAATACTATTTTTAAATAGTTTTTTCGTCTTACTTTTTAATTATTCTAACTTAATTATTCTTATTCTAATTAATGTAAGTAAAATTAGAGTTATAAAATAAAAAAAATAATTTAGTTGATTAATAAATAATAATTCAATTTATCTATAAGGTCATTAGGCCAAGGAAAAAAGATAAAACATATTTAAAAAAAAAAAAAGTATTTGAAAGTATCTGTAAATACTTTTTAAAAGTATTTGTATTTGCACTTAAATACTTTTTTTWAAAGTATTCAAATACGTATTTTAAATACTTTTGAAAAAAAGTATCTGTATCTGTACTTGAATACTTTTTAAAAGTATCTTTTACAAGACTGTTATTAACCATTCAACYATATTGTTACAGTTACAGTTTACCACCAAAAAGTTCCTTCCACTACTTTTCGTAAATTAATGCTAATGCTTGAAAATCAAAATCATTTGAACTCGCATAGTTCCACGTGAATACATCTACTTATTCTTTAAAATGTAAATTTAATAAATAATAAAAAATAATTAGAATCTTGGTTCGCTAATCGAAAACACGCGTAGATCGCAATTCCCGGGTTCACTCATTAAAAAATACTAAACATGAAAAATCACGAAAATTTTCATTTTTTTTTTTTAAATTTAAAGAAATGTAATGTTAAATTGTTTGATTATTATCAGATTTCACAATAAAATTTAAAAATGCTTTTTAAATGTAAACGCGAGAGTCCATTTCAAAACGGAATACTTAATTTCGTATAATAATCCAATTACCACGAAAGAACGATTGTCAGTGACATTAAGGTAAGTGATTAATTTTATTACCTATTTTAAAACCACGAAAACATACCTACACTTGCATATATTTTATATCGATTTTAAAAATAAACTTTCGGGAGAAGCGAACACAATATAGGTGTCGATACATTTGGTATTTATTTCAATTTGTTCCTACGATTTCTATATTTTTACACTTAAATCCATTGATTGTGTGCTAAACAATTAAGTAATTTTATTAATGACTACATGTGCTACAAAAATTATACTAATTATTTAATTTAACAATAAGTATAAAATTAACCCTTTTTTATCACTAAAATATCCGATAGATGTATTCATCAAGTAATAAGTGAGTATTTAAACGARATTCGAAAACGTTCAAATTATATTTAAGTGTATACAATTAATATAAGGCGTTTAGTCGAAAATCCCTTATCGAAACGCATTATTATATTGTATTTATATTTGTAATACACTTATAATATACTTGTAATATACTTGTTGTGTATTTTTTCATATTATTTAGCGTTCGAATAATTCAAAAAACATTTTGATAGATATTTTTAATTTATATGATCATCATTATTACTTTGAGATTCTGTCTAAAGATTATTCGATTTACACACACACACACGTTTATTTGTGTATATATATATATAGTTGGTATGTACTATATACAAATATCCAGATTTACGACAGTAAACTCTTATGTCCCGGTTTGAGAAGATTCCTTTATTTTACAAGATAATAAAACGAGAACAGTATTTTGTTTTAACGATCCCGTGAAAAGAAAGATCGGGTTGATAACAATCGACTGTGTGGAACCATATAAACATTTCTTTTTTAAGAGTTTGAAAATTAGGTCTATTTTATATAATTAATAAATATAATAACCGAAAAATAAACAATTTTTTCTAAATAACTRC